AAAAAAAAGTAGGCCAAATTCTTACAGTCAGCTGAAGCTGAAGCTACGATATTTGCTTCAGATGGCGAAGATGCCAAACCACGCACTTCACCAGCTGGATGGAGAAAAGAAAGCGATGAAATGCGGGAGTATTCACCATCCAGGGATAATCGACATATCTAAAGCTTTTACGTTCCTTACTAAGATGACAAATGTCTTTATTGCTCTCTTTAAAGTTATTTGTTAAACAGAGAATCCTATGTGAGAACGTTTAACAGAAATCCTCGGCCCGATAAAACAAAGAAAGCAAAGCATAAGTCCTAAGATAATGTCCTCTTATTTTTATGAAGTTCCACCATCTCTCTGGCATTACTTTTTCCTTTTATAAGAATTATGGACCATGGATTCATAAATGTATTCTGCTTACTTGATTATCCATCTTAATGTTGTGTGTCCCAATCAACAACTGTACGACATCCTCTTCAGCTGACACATTCGATAGGTATCGAGACTCGAGATCGAGTCCAAACATCAGACATTCCCCCATTTGAGATAGTTTGTAATTCTAAGGTTTTCAAACTAAGTTGGAGCAAATCATAAGAGACAAATGGCTATATTAACCATTCAGAATTGAATGCACGTTGTACTCAATTGCGTCAATGTAGCACTATCTCATTCTTGATGTTTTTTTTCTTTTGGTAATCGAATATTTGAAATAAGAAGTGGAAGCACACGTCTGCCAATTGTTTCTACAGATCAAAGGCATATTTATTAGTTTCTATAGAATCGAGATAAACGAACAATGAGCACACTTCCATGAACCTGATTTGAGTGGATAAGTTGCCTACTATTTTATGCACTCGTACTAAAAAGGCACACAGTAGCTATGATTGTTGACATTCAGCAGAAGGTTAGAATGTAATCACTAAACAACGACTAAGTCTAAGCTTCAAAGTGCGCAAAAAATCTAAGAAGAAAAAATGGAAGTTCATTTTTGTACCTATATGTTGGAACAATCGCTGTATCAAAAAGAGAAGAAATTAAAGCTAGCGGTCTAACAAGATCAACAATTTCTTCACGAATGTACCTAGAATTAGTTAATAAAACTGCTTTGTGAGCATAACGCACTAGGAAACAGAAACTACAAAGGCAGGAAGTACGAATTGTACATAACACCCATGAATGAAAGAACAACGTTTGTGAAGGTCACAAAGACTAGAGAGAATGACCAGATCGCACGACATACTGTTGCGTCAAAGATTGAGCGTAGAGATCCCGTTGTAGTAGAGTAGGCAACATTGCTTGTTCGAGTTCCCAACCATGAGAGATCACCCAAAGTACATTGTTAAAGAAACTTTGCGGAAGGTGCAGAAACAAGTTACGCTCACCTGTTGTCTTGAGCAACAATGCAAAGAAGAAAGAAAGAAGAACGGGAGCAAAATATTGTAGTATAACGGCACAAAAGTACGAATAATAGCGAAATATCTGTTTTAAGAAGAGGATTAGATTTTTCATCAGAAGCAAAAAAAATAAGCACTTACCGTAGCTTGTAAAGCGATATTTCTGATATAACCAGTTTCACGTTGTAAGGCTTTCAATTTTGCAGAAGACAGGTTCAGATGAGCCTAAAATCAACAATAACTACTGAGCATTGTAAATTTGTGCTACACTAATGCAAAGTACCTGAAGATGCGGCACTTTGAACGCTATACGAAGTATGAGTGAGAAAATGGCTAGATATATTCGCAGAATGTCTAGTTGTCCTTCAGTAAGTCTGAAAAAAGCCCATGCCTATACAACTCAATAAATAATATTTCGCTTTGCACATACAGCTTCCTTGGTCCAAAAACAAGCTGCTTCTTAACGGGGCTCGAAAACGACAGCAAGGTGAGCAGAGGTAACAGAAATGTAATATGCAGCCCGAACCTAGAAGTAAATTACAGATATATTGTGAGAACTTGAACTTCTAAGTTTAAAAAAAAATTACTTTGTCGGTGGGGAAACACATTGTTGAGCATTCGTGTACATATTGGCAAAGCGAAAGTTCGGGAAAACTAACATTGCGGCAATAAATGAGAAGAGAACAGACATTGAAACATATCTGTAAAGAATATTCGAAGAAGTAACAGAGGAAATGGCGGACTGCTTGACTCACAGAAGTATAGGATCTCTATGTCGCGTATAGCCTTCAGTGACACCAGTCTCTGTCATCAGCGTTGCAATATTGTCACAGAAGTGGTCATAGGCTTGAAAAGATTCTTTCAAACGGGAAAAAAGTCGAAAGTGATAACAGTCGCACCACTGAGTAATTGTATATCAAAGAAGTTGTCAGCTTGAGTGGCGAATATCACAGAAAAGAGGAAGAATACAGCAGCGAACATGAGGAGTACGCTTCGTTCATCTTCATTGATTACAAGCCAAGATGTCAACCGAGCTAGCACCTGAGATTTGTTGACATCAAGGGAGCAAACAGGCAGAGTATCATTGGCTTTTCTACCATAACGTATCCTTTTAGAAACAAGATAATGGCGAAAGTGTAAAAAAAATTCTTTAGATACTTATATGCACAATTGGTAAAACTTCGAACTTAGGTTAGCACACCCAGAAACTGTCTTAGAATGCGACAAAACTGATAATTTACTATCTATTATTTTATTAGCTGTTGCTACTAAAGAGAAAAGACAATTGAATGGCAATGCCTGTCCTATAAGCAAGAGTGAGTAGATTGATATTTTTTCACCAATACGAAGCTGGCAGATGCTCCAGTAATCGTGTAAACGCATAATACTACAGGTAAGGAGAAATCATAAACAATTTAAC